AAGGAAGGAAGGAAGGAAGGAAGGAAGGAAGGAAGGAAGGAAGAAAATGGAGGATAGGGGAGGAGGCTAGGGATGTAATGCTGTTGGTAGAGTGCTTGTATAACATGCATGAGTCTGGGGGTTCTAGCCCCAGTACCGAATAAAGTAGTCGTGGTGATACATACCTATAATCCCTGTACTTGACGAGGTAGATGATGCAAGAAGATCAAGCACTCATGGTCATCTTCAAATTCAAAGCCATCCTAGGAAGGATGAAACAGTATCTCAAAAGAGAACTTAAAAAAAAAAAACAGGAAATGAGTTATGGATGGTACTTGGAAGGTAGAAGCAGGAGTATCATGAGGAAACTAGCCCAAGCTGCACGTAATCTTGCCTCACAGACAAACAAAAAGAAAGAGCAAATAGCACCCATGAGATGGTTCAGTAGGTAGAAGGAGGGAAACAAAAGAAGTAGCAAATGAATAAAATCACAATATAAAACATTAAGAGCACTGGGGAAATAGCTTGGTATAGCACTTGCCTAGTATACTCAACACTGAAAAACAAGTTAAACACAGAATTACTATGTAGCACACTCCACTCCTGCATCTATAATCTCCTAAAATGGAGTGGGGGAGGCAGAAGGCTCTACTAAGCATATTTGGGGACCTACTTCTTCATGTCCCTGCTGACTATATTCCCATAGGCTACCAGAGAGCTGATGGTAGACACTTGACACAACTGCAGCTTCTGTTTTGAATTGATCTTTCAGTGACCCCTGGCCAGTCACTGTGGTCTTGAGAGGAAGCCCTGGTTCCCTCATTAAGCATGGTGCTTTTCACAATTTCTGATCCAGATGAGAGAAAAAAGAGGTCATTTGAGCACAAGGAGACAAGTTTGAAAATTATCAGAGTAGTTGTCCCTTATGTTTTTATGCATGATTAACAGTAGTGTAGTAGCTGCCATCCAAAGGCCAAGTCTAGCCCGCCTCTATATTTTAAATAAAGTTTTATTAACACATACTCATGTTTCATTCCTATGTTGCCCATGACTGTCTTTTCACCACAATGCAGAATTGAGTGTTTGATACAGAGATAACTCCAAACTTTTAACTTTCTGATATTCCACAGGAAAAATAGTTTGCTGACCCCAAGGTAAAATGATCATGGATATGCTTTTATTATGACAGACACTCAATGTTTTTAAAATTCTTGGGGTCAGTGAGATGACTCAGTAGGTGAGCACTTATTGTGCAAGTCTGGTTATCTGAGTTCCATCTCTGAAACCCACTTAAAGGTAGAAGGAGAAAACCTGAATCCACAAAGCTGTCTTCTGACCTCCATATATATGCCATGGCATATATGTGCTTACCCACACATCACACAAACACAAACATACATACATACACACACATACATACACACACACTAATAATAATAATAATAATAATAATAAATAAAAGAGTTTTAAAAATCATATTGGGTTGGCATTCCAAATTGAAATGTAGCCAAATAGAAAGATAGTTCATATAAGATTTGATTTATAATATTTTATGAAAAACATTGCCATGTTTTATAAATGGATGCTTGGATTATAGCAAAAACTTTAGAAGTAAAATGAAAGTTGTAACTTAAAAAAAAAGAAGATTATAGTCACTATCTTTTCTAAATAGGGAAAAACCTCTGCCAATGAATAAAGAAAACTAATTAAACAACAGTGTCCCAAGAAGGGACCATCTGTGGGTAACAGCAGCCCTGAGTATCCATGAAAATCTTCCTAGGAACTGATAGTAGTCACCTCAGCTGGTTGTGATGTCTGTAAAGCTAAACTCCACAAACAGCTGAAGATTTTCAGTGTGGACACTCCCAAAGAAATGGCTGCAGGTTTGACCACAACATACCGTATGTATGCTGGAGAAAACATTTGTAGGCTTTCTAGCTTTTTGGCTTTTAGAGAACTAGAACTCACTCCTGCCTTTTGTGTTTTCCCCTTGCTATTCAGGTGATTGACATTTCAATGATCCTGGCTGAAGCCATTCGAAGAACCCACAATGGAGAATCCGTGTCCTACTTGTTCAGCCACGTCCCACTGTAGTCCGGATTGGGATGTTGAAGGTGGAGCAAGCCTCCTCCAACTTCCTGCTGTCTTTGTCTGCCTGCTGTTTTAGTGTTAGGACTCAGCAATTCTAGGATGATCACTGGTGAAAGCATCTGATCTATGTACACTCTGAGATTCCTTGTCTCCCCTTCTAAAGTTCATGACTACTTCTTCTCAGTTTTGTGGGGGCAGGGGAAGGTGGTGGTTACTTGGTCTTTAAGTGAACTGTGGTCAATGAGAACTAGTATTCTCCCTCATTCTTTTTAGTACTTTGAGGCAGCAACTTTTAAGCCTAAAATCCCATTGTGGAAATTTGTCATATATATCTATTTTGAGGTTGCCAAAGGTGACTTCAAATAAAAGCCTTCTGTGTAAATATATAATGATAATGCTTGTGGACATTTGGGTAAAATCCTAAATAGCCTTTACTTCAGAGTGAACCTCAGAAAATTTATGGTATCATGCATTTTGAATTTTTGTTTCTTGTTTTTTAGGGAAAAATGATAACTGATTTTATTTTATTATAGCCCTTAATTGGGACTGAATTTTATTGAGCCTAAGATGGTTACTGATATATTGACTTTTCATAGTAAACATTTGACATATTGAAGACAACATAAGGCTATCAATTTTAATTTCCACTTTGAGGAAATGTCATAACTCTTAACTTACCTGAAACTCCCAAATGATGATCAGTGATCACTGTGATTTGGATACCACTTCAGGATGTAGTCAGTGAGTTCATGGTCACATTGATGTGCATCTTTGTTTATCCCAGAGGAATTATTATTATTTAGGATGCACCTCATGTCCTATCATCTTATTCCCAGACTTTTAGCACTGGCTTTTACTTTTCATTTTTTCCAATAATTTCTTGGTGTAGATATCCACCAAAAGAAAAACTCCTTGAAATCACCTCACATTTTTTTAGGCTGTTTATTTTATTTTATTTTATTTTTTGGTTTTTCACATAAATAAAATGGGAAAGTTTTAAGAGTGCCACCAAATGTATTTATTCAAACACTGTTTAATGAGCTCGGATTAAATGCTCTTGGCCCTTTGTAAGCAGAAGTACTAAATCTCTAATGGTTGATTATCATCTCTAAAGTTGTTAAAATGTAGAGATAGAGGAGGCCTGTAAAACAACAGATGCAAAAGTAAATAGGAGCTTCTTCAAAAAAAATGGTTCAAAAAGCATCGTGAAAAATTTCACTGAGGGTGGCATTCTTGATAAAATTGTCTTTTAGCAAGGTTTAGAGGTTTATGCCTATAATCCTAGCACTCAGAAAACTGAAGCAGGAAGATTACCACAAGTTTGAGGCCAGCCTAGGCTACATAGTGAGTTCAAACTCAACCTGAGCCCATGTGTCATGAAACAAAAGGCAGTCTTTAAAAAGGCATCATTTAAAGTGGCAAAGGTCACCCATTCACTGACTGATTATATGCATGTTGGTGGACAACCTATCAAATTTGCCTGACCCCAAAGAAAAGGATTTGCCTGTGTAACTAAAGATTTGGAATGCTAAACAATCTCTCTCCCTTGCTGAATCTTAAAAGTGGTAAATAAATTCCTAGCCCTAAATTTTTTGGGTAGAAAAATCCTATCCATCTGAGCAACATACTTGACCAGCACTCTAGAATATCAAACTTGAGGGCAGCAGAAGTCAAATCAATGTTAGAAAGTATCATTTATGTTATTATGGAAACTAGCATTTTGACAATACTTTATTTGTAACTGTTCTAAAGAAAGTGGTCCAATCACCTGGAATGCTCAGATCTATGGTACAAACTGTAAAGTCTTGACTAGACATGTGTAAAAACCCTATTTGACACTATGCAACTGTTATTTTTGATAAATGTGTGACGTCTGTATTTCTTGGGGTTCATGTCTGTGCTGAATGAAGACATCCCTGTGCACATCCACATGGAGACAGCTTGATATGTGTGTGCACATGTCTCAAAGTATTGGCATGACAAAAGCCAGTTGGTAATCATTTTATCTAAGGCATTTAAAGCTTAGGAGTGTATACAGTGGATCTTGCAATAATGATCTTCAGATTTAATCCCCTATATAAAAGTCTGCCTGGCTGTCCTCTGAATTGAGAACTGATGGTTTCTGGCTTTACTTGGCCTGAGGAGGTGTTTTAAAGGACCTCTGAATACACTAATGAACTGATTAGACTGAATCGAGCCTTATACAATGGAAATACAGATTTTAAATTTGTGATTGTTCTAGTTTGGCCAAAATGACAAAAGCTGACTCGTGAGCAGTCTAGACCCAGGACTTCCCTGTTCCTTGCTGCTTGCAGTAAGGAAACAAAGGGGAAATCACCAGCAGATCAGCTCTGTCCAGCTCCACAACAGGAGGGCCAGAAAGGGGAGTCAGGGAAACAGAAATATACCAAAGTTGTTTAGCCTCCAGCTAAAATTTTCTTAGTCAACTGGTAGATGTTCATATGCTGACTTTCCTTTGTTAGAGACAATGTCAACTAAGTTCAGGAGTCTGTTCTTTGCAGTGCTTGCCCTGGTTTTAGAGACTAGAGAATTTTGAGATCCTGTGACATTTACTAAGGCATTTCAATAAAATCATGCTGACTACTTTGTTTCATAGTTCCTATTATGATTTTAGAATAATTTGTTTTTTGACGAAGTGACCTGTTGATGAAGTAGCTGAGAATGTGTGTTACTATATCATTAAGACCAGGTTTGCAAAATTAAAGGAAAGCCAGAAGTTAATTAGTTAATTAAAGTGTACTCTTCATCATTTTGAAGGCTGTGCTTTGAGAAAGACTCATTAGCTATCTTCTTTCAGAAAAGCATCATAGTTCCTCCGCATAATGATCATTCTAGATATTAACATTTCAAAGTAAAGACCAAGATTGGTGAGATGGTAAGTGCCACCAAGCGACCTGAATTCAATCCCTGGGAGCCACATGGTGGAAGGAGAGAATTGTCCTCTGACCACCACATGCAAACTGTGGCATGAAAACGTCTACCCCCACATGCATAACCATAATCATGACAATGTATTATGCATCAAAGTAGTGAAATTCAGTACCCATGTATTGGAGCAGTCCAAACAAGTACAGACTACGTAGAAGTTGTTCACGTGCTTTGTTTTAAAGAATGCCAGAAAGGGTTCCTGTCCCTTTAGAACACGCCATCTGCTTCAGTGATGGTTTAAATTATGCTTGTGGGGACAAAATAACTGCATGTCTGTGTTGTGTGAGTGTGTGTGAGAATGGATGTGAACACTAGAGGTTGACATTGGGTATCTTCAGTTGTTCTCTGCCTCTTTTTTTTGTTTGTTTGGTTGGTTGGTTTGGTGGTTTTTGTTTTGTTTTGTTTTTGAGATAGCATCTCTCACTGAACCTGGAACTCACTGGTTTGGTGGGACTAGCTGGTCAATGAGCTTCAGGGATCTTCCTGTCTCCATCTCCGCAGCACTGGGATTACAAGCAACTGCTGCCATGCCCTGCTTTTTACATGGGTCCTGGAGACACAAACTCAGGTCTTAATGCTTTGGAGCAGCAAGAACTTTTTAGGCTGAGCTACTTCTCTAGCCCCAGGACAAGATATATCCACAATTATTCTCTTGTAGTGAAGCCCAGCTTTAAAGTATGGAAAACACTGCATGAGAGTGACAACCAGAGGCTTTAAAATCCCCATGCAGCCAGGCATGGTGGCACATGCCCTTAGTTCAGGCACTCAGGAGACAAAGGCATGTGGTTCTCCAAAGTTTAAGGCCAGCTTGGTGTACATAGTAAGCTCCAGGCCAGCCAGAGCTACACAGTGGAACCTGGTCTCATACCCATACAGACATGCACCAAAAAAAATCACCATGAAATGTCAAGAACTTCAATGGGTCTGAGGAAACTGAGGAAGAACACAATAGGAATGCTGGGATTACTTGAAAGGAGGAGTGGAGCAAAGGAGAAGTACAAACAACACACCGGCTTCACGGTGGCACCTGATAATGCTGTCCCCTCTTGGAAGTGGTTCTTTTCTCATGTTTGTCCCCTCTAATTCACCCATTAACCACATGCACCAGGCCAAGTGGGGAAGAGAAAGATGAAGGCTGAGAAATTCAGAGCATTGAATCCACAGGAGCCCACAAAGATCTTAGTGGAGGGACCACTGCTAGAGGTGATAATTTACCACAGAATTTTCCAGAATGTAACAGCCATCCTCCAGCACATACTTTTTGGTCCATCATATGTTAGAAGGAGGGCAGTCAGTGTAGATGGGGGATTGGGATAGAAACATCACCATATCCTTCATCTAAATGGTGTTCATAAATCATCAGGTTACCTAGAACTGGTCACTTGTGGGGCTTTCGGGGCTAGGGAGATGGCTCAGCAGGGAAAACTGGTGCTCGGCAAACAAAAACCCAAGTTCAAATTCCCAGCTCATATATTAAAAGTCAGAGGTGGCTGTTTACATGTCTATAAGCCCAGCACTCTGAGGAGTGGATACTGGGCTTGCTGGCTGCCGGCCCAGCTCTAGCTCCAGATTCAGTGAGAGACACTAGAGACACTGTCTGGAATAAAGAGGAATGATACAGCAGGACACTTGATCTCTCTCTCTCTCTCTCTCTCTCTCTCTCTCTCTCTCTCTCTCTCTCTCTC